TTTCAACAAATACGTTCAACTTAGCAAGAATATTTACCTGAAGCATGTCCGTAGTCATTAATTAATAACTTTGGAGGCATTTGTATTGTTATAAAAAGTGATTGTTAGCTCTTACCAGCATCATTAGCATCATCAAGTTTTGGAATGCCTTTAATTTTACTATGTTTCACTGATGAACATTTTTTGTTCAGCTGTATCTGTGCCTTGAATTTCACCCAATTCAGTATACTTTCTACAATGCCACAGTTAGAAGCCTATAAAAATTGAATTCATATTTTAAAATACTACAAAAAAGAGTTACATTAAAAATAAATATATCAAAGCACTAAAATCCATTTTTTCTTTAAAAATATTGCATGTCAGAGTTTATTTTTTACACAGCTTGATATTTCCTTATTTTTATTCTCACAATTAACAGCAATAGCACTTAAACTTATATAACACTTCACAGTACTTTACAACGCTCTCCGAGCAGTTTATAAATGTCAACATATTGACTTCAATGATCGGGGTTTTCATTTTACCAACTCAGAAGGATTGAAGGCTGAGTCAACCTTGAGCCGGTCAAGATCAAACTCCTGGCTCTGAGCAAAGTTAGCCTGCACTACTGCATTTTAACCATTGTGTCACCAGGCTCTTTCACATACCACTCAAAGAGCTACAAATTTTATGAACTGAATTTTGTATTATATTCCCAAAACTAGATAGCATTTTGCAAGACAGTTAATAAACATCAGTATTTGTTAATTAAAAAGAAAATGCATTTCAAATATTAAAGCATTATTCTTTTATTACTTTTTATTTAATCATATTAAGAATAGTTTCTGAAATGTAAACCACATCAGGGTTTTTACTTTCTTTAAAGAAATTGGTCAATAATTCTTCAAATCATTATGGTTATTAAATAAATATGAAATACTTACTGCTTTAAAAAACTTTTCTGATAATTGACATTTGGACCCAAAACTTTTCGGTTGGAGTGTCATATTCTCTTTCGTTTGAGAATCGAAAGAAGGATTTTCAATAAGACAATTAATAAAAACCCATATATGGTTCTTTACCTGTTCAAAATATATATATATATATATATATAAATAAATATATACAAAATATACATATATAAATATGCACACAAGTGAAAATAAGAAAACAAAGATATAGAAATAATGAAGCAATCTTTTTTTGTGAAATTATTTCAAAATATGAACATCAACGTACCTGGAATGGTTTTACTGAAACACCAGCTTTGTTTTTTTTTTTTACTACCTCTATCAATTTTCCAACAATTTGATCTACCACATAATCGACATGCCTACCTCCCTTAAGGTAAAAAAAAAAAGAAGTTAGCAACAATAACAAAACAAACTTGTGTTTTAGAACTTCTAATAATGAGAACATTTTCACAGTAGGAACAAAGAAATATTAAATAATCAAAAGAATGCCACACATCCTGAACACATTAGGAATATTACTACTCTCATATTGAAGTATTTTTAATTTATCTGTGTGTACCACATATACAATTTATATGTGGTACACACATATATGAACATATTTTCATTTTTAAAAGTCTATAAACTGCACAGTAGAGCTTCACAACTACATTGAAGAAACTAATGTTGGGAATATTTTTGTAATATAATACAATATAATTAAAAACCCAGGTTTTTTGGCAAAAATTAATGAAATGGTTTCCCATTACATTTTTCCTAACCTGGCCCAAGGTCATCTAGCTGGCTTCATGCGGAAAGTGATACAACAAGTCATACTCTCAACTACCATACCAAGGTATGTCTCAAGAATTGCAGTAATACCAAAATAATCTAATTTTGCAATCTTAACTACTTATCACTAATGAGATTAAAAAATGAAAAGTAACAATTATACTGAAAATATAATATCTGATATGCTGACCAGCATCTTTGAATTGGATGATTTGTGATTAAGAAATTACTAACAATAGAATTTTTAAGGCAAACTATTTTTCTAAGCAGTCTGCTCAAAAATATTCAAATAACAGTTTTAGAAATAATTAAAAGATGTGCTATATACAAACATATTATAATTCTAAGGCATGTAAGAGATATTGATACTGATGCCAATATTTTACAAATCATATATAGTAACTATTACATTTGCTTATATGAAATCAATAACCTGTTTGACATTACTTTCACAACTTATTTTAAAATATTTCCATTACTTGTTTCAGGCGTATATATGAGCAATATCAAAATTAGCCCAGTGATTTTCTATCATTTCATTTTATATTGTTGTGTATATAATACAATTTATAAAATTAAAAATCCAAAGTACATTAATTCCAATTCAAAGATTGTGCTAGGTTTTGCAATAGTGGAAAATATCTGTAGCTCAGGTGTAGGATGAGGTTGAAGGTTCGTTCTCCGAGGTTGTGGGTTGGTTTCCAAACATTCTGTTACCAAGCTAGGTAACATCTTCAGTGTAGTTTAGGGGATGTCAGTGTCAATGTTCTTCTGTTTATAAGGCCTTAAGGTTTGGGTGTGCCAAGTCAGGGTCTTGTGAATTATCAGTGGGTATTGTGATAGGTCTTGTGATAAGGAAATTATATCAGATCACGGTCATTGGGAGGTCAACTGCTGATGGAAGGTTGTGTGGGTGGGTTGAGGGATGGTACTGTCTTTGGTTGGCTGTGCAGTTGATTTAAATTCTGAGGGGTTCATAGATTGGTTGTTGTGCTGTGCTGTATATTATTTTAATCACTTAATATGTAAAGTAACTCACCTTTGTGGTAGCAATACTGTTCACAAAACTAATTTGCTGAAATCCCTTTTCACTTAAAGTAAGACAGACATCCCAGCGTTCATTAGCAAGTTCATGAGTAACTTTTAGAGCAAGTCCAGTTTCATCTAACTTGTCCTTTACATAAAGGTCAATGTAACTACGAAAGCCATTCACCTAGGATTTAACAAGAATAATTATTTTCTGCTTTGAACATATAGAATTTCATTATAGAAATATTTTACTAACGTTCTTACAGGTAGTTTCTTTCCATTAAGCATTACTTTGACTCCTTTGCATGCTCCTGCCAAATCATAAGCTCTTCTTGTCATAAGAGCTACTATATCTTTGTCAAGCTTTTCCATCTTAAACTTTGAAAGATCTGGTTGGAATGTCACACATGTGTAGTCATCTCCTTCAAAATGTTTAATCTTAGGATCTGAAGTCTTCATCATATTATTCATCCAGGTCTTCATTAAAAAAAAGATAAAAAACAAGCATATACATTAATAGAAAATTTCTGACAAAAACACAGCGCTAAAGAAATTTCATTCAGTCATTCTAAATTAGATGTTTCTTTTTTCAGTTCCCATATAAACTAAAATAATATCATATTTGATTTATGTTATATTTCTCTTTAAAAACATAATCCATATGTTCATAATATGATATATAATCATTAATGCATTGAATATAATGTGATTATTTCCCACATTATTATTTGATTAATTTATGATATGCTGACTGGATGCTAAGTAAAGGGGGGAAAATTATTCAGGGTTCTGACCAATAATATTTTTTAGTTCTCTATTAAGATTAAGACTGTAAAGGTATATACTTCTACAATTACATTCAATTGAATAAATTCTATTGTTCAAAGTTTCAATCAGAGAAATCCCTTGTAAATATCTCTGAATATCTTGTCCTATCATCTTTTTAATAACTGTGTTAAAAAGTTTAATCACATAAGAAATATGTTAAGAAGGCAAAGGGAAACAATCATACCTGCTTAAAACTATGTTTGTATTCTTTGCAAGCAGTCTCAACTGTAAACTTGGTACTGAATATATTACAAAGTTTTGCACCATAGCCATTGCGACCACCTGAAAAGGTAGGGAACATGAATACCTCTCAATATGTTTTTGTTTTTACTATGTCTCCCCCACTGATACATGATATGCATCTGCAAATGGTATACAGGTAGTCCTTGAATACAACAGTTCATTTAATGACCATTCATAGTTAGCACTGAAAAAAGTAACATGACCGTTTTTCACACGATCGCTTCAGCATCCCCATGGTCACATGATCAAAATTCAGATGCTTGGCAACTGACTCATATTTACAACAGTTGCAATGTCCTGGGATCATGTGATAACTTTTTGTGAACTTCTGACAAGCAAAGTCAATGGGGAAGCCAGATTTAACAACTATGTTACTAACTTAACAATTGTAGAGATTCACCTAACAACTGTAGCAAGAAAGGTGCAAAATTAATTAACAACTGTCTTATTAACAACCTAAAATTTGGGCTCAATTTGATCACAAATCAAGAGCTATCTGTATTTTGTTTTAACATACAAATACTATAGCACTTCATTTAGAATTTTGCAGCAGGAATGTGAAATTAATGAATTTAAAATCTTCCACTTAGTTCCACTTATAAATCTCTTAACTTCCACCAATTAAAGCATCAAATGCCATGAAATTGTTACTACTATTTAAAAATGATAATTTAGGTTATGCTGTAATAGTATATTTACCTGTAACTTTTTTTTCATCATCATCATAATTACTGGACGTTAATAGCTGTCCAAAAATTAAGGCAGGAACATACATCTTTTCTACTTTATGTTCCACAACAGGAATACCTTTTCCATTATTCCAAATACTTATAATATTTGACTCGCTGTAAGAGAAAACAGTAAATATTTTAACCATAGAAAAGTACAGTTGCCTTTACAGTTTTCAACAATGCAATACAAATGCTTCAGGCTGGCAGTTTACAAATTCACAAGTTACCCAATTAGCAGTAAATCACTGCGGCTACCAATATCTTAAGCTGCGGTAGAACAATTAAGATAACATGCAAGACAAACATAACAAAAATTGTATCGCTGGTAGAACACCACACAGTGCATATCTTTTCTCCAATGCTGAGAGAAGTGGTGGCTGCAGTTTCAATCTTCCAATTAGAATCTTGCCTATATTTTAGACTATATCTTACTTAAAGCAATATTAAGGTTACAAGCCTTTCCAATCCCCACCACATATGTTCTACAACTATGCTGAATCTTCTTCGATGCAGTGGGATTCCACAACAGACAGATGAACATGATAACTCCGCCTTGTAGATAAAAAAAATTGAAAATTAAAAAATGGGAATTTAAAACATCTTTTACCTGCACTAACACCCCTGATAAAATATTCAAATATTTTACAGATACAAGTCTCTCTATTGTCTTAGTATTAGGAAATCTTTGTCACACAGTCAGCTTGCTTTGTAACATTGTACTACACATTAATGTAGTGTGCAGTGATTAAATCCTGATCTTGATCTAAAACATACAATTAATATTTTTCTTGGTATGCTATCCAACAAACACTCATCCATGTCAATAGACCAATAACATAAAGATCAAAAAGATTGTCCAAGATTGCCAACTTAAAGCTGCAAACACCACAATAATATTTATATACATCAACATTGCCTAAAAGATCTATCTAGAAAATATATGAATTGGAATCCAGAAGATTTAAGAGCATGAAATAAAAAAAGTGGAAAATGACATTGAGAATGATTATCTATAAAATGTGACATATACCTTGCACAACAAAATAGCATATTTGAACTCTTATCATTTATATTCAGAAATATCATGACAACCTTTACAATTTAAACAATCAAAGGAAAAATCTGTGCATTTTGATCACATACTTAAATTATTATTTTTGTTTGAAGCACTTTTTTATATATATTCAGTTCATATTATTTTATTATGAAGTTAAATTCCTGTTTTCATTTTAATATTTAATACAAAGAAGCATTTTAACACTTCTATCCCCAAATTAATTCTAACAATAAAAACTTTATATTAAAAAAAATCAAATATTAACCTTCAGGAACCATAATTCTTTTTTAGACAACCAAATATATATTTATTTAAAATATTTCTATACTACTTATCATGCTATGCATATTCAATAGTACAAGACTAGGCAACCATATGACTTATTGGATCATCCTTTTGAGAGAAAAGTAGTACAGTGTGATTGACCAAAATGAACATTAAATTTTAGAGTGACCATATTTTTTTAACCCCAATGCTAAAAAATTCCATGATCATCTAAGAAGACATATATCATAAACAGAAAAATAATTATAGGGGCAAATGAGCATTAAAAATAAGTCAATATTTAGTTACCTAAATAGAAAAACAGAATGACTGTAGGTGGGCAAAAAATCAGTGGGAGCGGAAGTGGTGTTGCTTGTGGGAAGGTAGTAAGGAGTGTAGGAAATCATGATCATATTACTGAGAGAAGTATGGAAACATTGCAATAATCACAATTTTGCAAATAAAACTGATTTGAATATCATGGAAATTTCAATTACACAATAATGGGTACTGGATTTTTTTTTATGCCTACTTTAAATTAATTTATTTTAGGCAGCTTGATTCAAAAGTTGCTGTATAATACACTGTTTGAAATAACTTGACGGTACAAGCAAAAAAACACAATCAGAATTTTAATAGTATGTTGTCATTATAAATGAACAAACATCATACTTACGGATCAATTGATATTTTGATACATGTCATATTCTTATCTCTTTGCTTATTGTCAGCGGCATTTACTAGAATAAACAAGCATTTATTAGCAGCAATAACTTGTATTAAACAATTACAAATAAGACAAATGCTATACCTTTATGCGGTAATTACAACAAATCTCAGCAATTGTGCAAGAGAGAGTTACAGGCCCAGAGTTCAATTGAATTTTCTTATAGAATGATTTAGAATAGTATCATCATTTTATATTTTGTAATTAGCTTTCTATTATTTCTATATAAAAACATACACTAAAGTGCACCTTGTATGTCAGTTTATGTCAGTTTTCCAAGATGAAAATGTTAACAATCAAGTTTTGAAGTCATTTTGTGCTTAGTTAAAATATTTTAATCTTAGATTTCCTATACTTCTATCAACTGAGATATTTCAATATCTATTTTCCTTTTATTATATAACCATACAGAAATGTTGAATTTCTAAGCAAGATTCATTGACAGTAAAGAAACACGCTAAGAAAATTTAGTAATTTTCTTGATGAAACTGCAGGAACAGCCTGTGTTCTGCTTTCCCTCTCCATCCTTGGTCATCATAGATCTTTTCCTCCTTTCTTCAGGTCTCTGTAGGTTTTTCTCTCCCTACTGGTTACCCACAGACTACTTTGCCTTCTTTCAGGCTAATCCTCCCTCCCTCAACGTGTCAATGCATAGTGAATTGGCCTGTGGGGACTTGGTGGGGGATTGGGGAGATAGGCGAGAAGGGACTGCAGTGTGTCTGCAATTGGTTGTAAGACTGAATCACTACTGGGGTGCTGAAGTGGCCATAAATTTGGGAACAAGTTGTAAATAATTTTTGGGAGATCCAATATAACTTCAAATGCCATTAAACATTAAAGAGACTAGTTGTAAATCAAGGATTAACCTCTGAATTTATAATACTTATGAAAATTCATAATTGATTATCAGGATATTATAAATATTTGATAGTGAATTAGGTAGATTCAAATCAACCTGCTAAATATTTTTATAAAACATATGCTGATATTTGACATGAAATTGTAATAAGAAAATATGAAAGAAAGATGTAATACAATGTTTTGCCATATTAATAGCAGTTTTGATTATATTACTATTGAATTAATTCATGTTGTAAAATTATCATTGATTGGTATAGCTTCCCCTGATTAGATACCAGGATTTTCATAGAAATGTTTTTTTTTTTAAATTCTAGGTCACAGATAAATAACATGAGTATGTTAATATGTGTATAAATTAGGAATAAATTCATAATTAATTCTGAAAGGAAAGAAAACATGATACCTTGGTTTATTTTTATCTCTTTAATGTTAACACATTTACTATTAATAACAATGTATCTACAACATGCCAAAGTATATCTGAATTCTTCGACTTCAAAATAATTTTGAAATGCTGTTAAATATATCATTGTTATAAATACTTACCAAGAATTTCATCAAATATTTTATATAAACCAGGAACAAAAGTGACATCTCTACAATTCATTCCCGTATCTTCATCAAACACCCACATCAACTGTAAATAAAAAATTTTGTCATGAAATTTTATAGATATATATTACTTTAAAATATGCTTATTTCTTTTAAAAGAATGCTCATTATATTTTAGAGATTTTTAAAATTATGTTACCATTCGCCAAATGACTCTGAACAAATGTTAAAAAATAAGGAAAAAAAGTCAAAATTACCATTTGTACCATCCATACAAACAAGATTTGATATATTCAATGATAATATTAAAGCTTCAAATAAATAGAAAATGGAAATTACCTGAGTTAAAGGTTCTACCGAACCAATGTATGTATCAGGACGGAGAAGAATATGCTCAAGTTGAGTCTTTTTTTGATAAACTCTCTCAACAGACAGCTTTTTTGAATCATTTTTATTGGTGTGTTCAGGTTCTTCTTTTTTTGAAGCATTGTTTTGATTATCAAACAGTGTCTGTAATATAGATAAAAATAATATAAATTCTAGTTTTGACCTACTCAAAAGCTTTGGAAAATGTGTTACTAGTACAATACCTATAATCTGGAAAGTAATCTACTATGTATCAGGGGTGAAATCCAGCAGGTTCTGAAGAATCGGTAGCAGAAATTTTGAGAAGTTCAGAGAACCGGCAAATGCCACCACTGGCTGGCCCCTGAGAGGGGTGGGAATGGAGATTTTGCAGTATCATTCCCCTGGAATGGGGTGGGAATGGAGATTTTGCAGTATCCTTCACCTGCCATGCCCACCAAACCATGCCCACCAAGCCACGCCCATAGAACTGGTAGCAAAAAAAATTAATTTCAGTGTGTGTGTATGTGTGTGTGTGCCTATGTGCGCACGCATGCGCCTAGATGAACTTGGAATTATTTGTGGATAAAATTGTTAGCGGCTGGTATTTTGCTTACAATTTATTTATTTATTGTTGTAAATAAAAAGATAAGGTAGGAGTCCAGCAATGTCAAGAGATGTTGCCTACAATACTATTTTTTAATCTGCACAGGAATTTGTATAGTCTCTTCAGTTTCACTAAACATATCATAGACGGCTAAAATCCCATTCAAGAGGAATGCTACAGAGGATAGTTTCTGAGGTAATAAAATAACATTTAAAATTATGTTAATAATGCTTGGATTCATGTATTTCATTGTCTTTAGTTTGCCAGTTTACACTGACCATAGTTTGTTGTTTAACTATAGGGACAACTAAAGCTTTGGCACAAACCAGGAAGACAGAGAACTGCGTAATAAAGAAGAAAGGCTTCTTTAAGGTTCAAATAGTTTAAAATCATATTTTATTTATTATCCAGTGTATATTTAAGATGATTTCTTATTTATCATAAGAATCTGAGAATTTGTTTTTAAAAAAGAGAAGTTATTTCTCTATGTTATATTAAATGTTAGTCTTTTGCTATATTAAGATATTAGGATTATTATTTGTGAAATGTGGATGTGCACCTATGGATTAGAGTGGAATGTTCATGTATATTCAAATGGGAAAGTTTCTATTTGAAATATTGTGTATTAGAGTTTGTCTTTTTGTAAAGGAGATATTATCTCTTTGTCATGTCAAGCCTAGGTTTTCTTTTACAGACAGTACAAATATTTCAGTTGCGAACCTTTGTCTAAACAAACAAACCTCTCAAAAACCTACTTCTTGGTAAGCAGAAAAATGTTGGATATACAGCATCGCCACCAGATGGATTTATAACTGGCTGACAAACCGTACTCAATGAATAGTCCTTAATGATACTTACATTTACATAGAGGGAAGCAAGCAGTGGGGTACAATAATGTTTTGTCTTAGGTCCAGTACTCTTCAATATCTTCATAATGACTTAGAATAGGAAATAGAAGGGGAATTCATCTAAATTGCAGATGATATTAAGTTGGCACTAAAAGAGAAAGGGGGTTGGTACTTACCTGATACGCCTCTTCTAAAGTCCATGCATGGACTGAGTCTTATTAATAATTAATTAAATCGTATATAACCCACCTTCATGAGTGACTCAGGCAAAGAAAACACATAGACTCATTGTGTTATCAAAAAACCCAAACTTTAGTAATGAATAAATGCAAAACTTCAGCAACATAACACAACACCAAGTCAAGGTACTTTACAGAAATACAGACAAATAATCATACCTGCTTTTCCATGAGGACCAGGTTGCCTTCAGACTGGATATTATCTCCACTTTATTAGAAGAGGCATATCAGGTAAGTACTAACACCCTTTCTCAATAGAAGTGGAGATAGCATCCATGCATGGGATATACCTAAGCTGGTGTCCTTATGGGAAGGACCAAGACTGGTCTGATTTACCTGTCAGAATGTATTGATTGCAAAACTCTATGGACAAAAGCCGTATCCGCAAATTTATCCAATTTGTAATTATTTATAAAGTGGGAAGGCGATGCCCATGCGGCCACCCTTCAAATTTCCTCCAGGGAGATTTGAGTTGTCCAAGCAGCAATAGTGGCCGTGTTTCTCATTGGGTGAGCGATGACCCCCCCCCCCAAGGAACCATTTCCTGGTTAGAATGGTAAGCTGCAGTTATACATTTCCTGACCCACCTACCTATGGTAGACACCAAACCTTTCGTCCTAGTGATGTGGGATGAAAAGATATGAAGAGAGCCTCTAAGCGTCGGAATTCTGACGTTCTGTGTATGTAGATCTTCAGGGTACGCCTAACATCAAGCTTGTGCCACTGTGTTTATAATGGTCAGGTTGGGGATGGACAGAAGTTCTGAAGGACAACCTCTTGTGCCCGGTGGAACCATGAACCAATCTTGGGTGTAAAGGAGGAGTCTAACAGGAAAACCACCCTGTTCTCATGGAAGGTGCACAAATCCTCTCTAACAGATAGGGCATGCAATTCCGAAATCCTCCTGGCAGAGGTGATGGCCACCAGGAAGGCTACATTCAATGTGAGGATCTGTAAGGATATAGTACGGATGGGTTCAAATGGTGGTTTGGTGAGAGTTGTGAGCACCTTAAGCAAGTCTCATGTGGGGTACATGTGAACTGCAGGTTGCTTGAGATTGGTAGCCACTTTTAAGAACTTCCGTACAGTGGGATGTTGGGATAGTGATTGACCCCCTCCCCAGGTCAAGATGGTAGTGAGAGCTGCCACCTGCCGCCTGATTGTATTGGGAGATAACCCCTTATACAAACTTGGAGGAATTCCAGGACCTGAGGGACAGATGAAGAGGTAGGAATGATCCCTTTGGCTAAACACCATGTACAGAAGATTCACCAGGTTGCATTATAGATACGGTCCATGGAGGGCCTTCGAGAGACCTGAATAGTGTCTATGACCCTGGGGGAGAACATGTCCTGCACCAGAACACTCCACTCAATTGCCAGATGGTCAACTGGAGCCATTGAAGGTCCAGGTACTCCAGAGACCCCTGACTGAGGCATACCCTGTCTGGTGGGATTCTCCAGGGTCTCTGCTCAGAGGTCTGTGAACCACAGATGCAGCCAGTGTGGGGCCATGAAGATGACTTCCGCTCTGACAGAGATGACCTTGTGTATGACTCTGGCTATCAGTGGGGTAGGAGGAAAAGTGTATAGGAGCATCCCTCATCAGTTGCTTCAATCTAGTGCCCCCCTGCCTGTTCACATGTGCCTTAGTAGTCATGTTATCGGTGAGAATTAAAACATGCTGCCCCCTGAGGGAGTGGATGAAGCACAGGAGAACCAGGCATATGGCCTAAGTTCCAGGAGATTAATTCTCTGAGCTGCTTCTTCCGAACTCCACTGGCCCTGCACTATCTGACTGTCAAGATGTGGCCTCCAGCCATAAAGACTTGTGTCTGTTGTAATTGTGACCCTATTCTCAACCCGGAAATGACATCCTTTAGTGATCTCCACCGGGGATCTCCACCACCGTAAGGATTTACAGACCTCCCCAGTTACAGTGACCTTAGCCAGAGATGTACTAGTCCGTCTCTTCTGAAAGGGTAAAAGGAATCATTGCAGATCCCTAGTGTGTAACCTAGCCCAGGGTACAATTGCAATGACAGACACCATTTTTCCCAGTAGCTTGGAAAGCATAACCAATGAGACTCTAGTCTCCCTCTCGACCTAAGTGACCAACTGCCTGAACTGTCCATTCTCTCCTCAGAGAGGAATACTTGTTCTGCTATCGTGTCAATCCAAACCCTCAGGTGCAGAATTCCGGTGGCGGGGTTAACATGGCTCTTGTCCCTATTAATGGAAAAACCATGGAATTGGAGGACTTGTATAGTGACGGAAAGATCAAGTCTGGCACTATCTAGTGAGACTGATTGTACTAAAATGTCATCAAGATAGCATTGTACCTGGATAGGTACGTTCCTGAGATGTGCTAATGCCGCTAAAATCTTAGTAAAGGCTCGAGGAGCCAAAGAAAGACCAAAAGGCAAGGCCCTATATTGATAATGACAATTGCCATAACAAAACTGTAAAAATTGATGATGATCTGGGAGGATGGGTACATGCAAGTATGCCTCCACTAAGTCAATAGAGGTAAGAAAGTCCCCTCGACATAATCCAATATTATTTGCAATGAATGCATCTTAAACTTTTTATACCTTAAATAACGATTAAATTGCTTTAAATCCAATATAGCCGTCCATCCTCCTGAGGACTTAGGGATAACAAATAGGATGGAGTAAAATCCCTGATGATGCTGGTTTACCGGCAGCATTTGGATGGCCTCGATGTCCAAAAGGTGCTGGATTACCAAGTGCATCAGGAGTTGCCTCTGAGGGTTCTGGGAAACTGGGGACCAAATGAAGAATCTAGGGGGGAGGAGATGAACTCAAAGGCTAAATCTGCCCTAACTGCCTTCTGGGGTAACGGCCTGGACGGGAAAACCCCTTCTTATTGTTAGAGGGGAGAACCTTATATTTGTCTTTTCCCTCAATCAATAGCAGAGTAAGGGAATCCCCAAAAATTGCCCTCCCTTTGTAGGGTTCCGAAGCGCCACATATCTCTTGTCAGTCTGCCATTGGCACAGCCAAAAGAACCTGCGGGATGCCACCACCGTGGCCCTAATGCAAATCTCATGGTACTGAGGGTGGTGTCAGAGGAGAATTGCACAGCCGCCACAATTTTATTCAGGTCCTGGTGTGCTCTGGAGTCCCTGGCTGGAATACTCTTCTGGAGTTGTTGTAACCAGAAGACGCTGGACTGGGAGAAAAACAACATAGCTGTCGATGCATGTACAGCCCAGGCCACTGCCTGGTGACACCGCTGGAGGGTCTGGTCCGCCCTCTTGTCCTCCGGCTTGAGGACCTCCTCCTGTGACCCCAGCAATGTGGTGGTGGAATAGAGGGTGGAAATTGGAGCATCTACGGTGGGCCAATGGAGCAATTTATCCAGCCCTTCACCTACATTGTAGAAGTGCTTGCTGGTCATGGAAGGCGAAGGGCCAGATGTAGGTGCAAACCATTATCTCTGGACTGTG